GCTCTCCCCTGGCGTGTTCTTTGGCTCAGGGCATTCCACTCTGTTTGAAGGGCTCAACAGCAAAGGGCAGCGGGAGGACTGCTGCTCAAGAAAGACTCAGATTTGAGTCAAATGCCTGCTTTACCCCTTACAGCTGCGTGACCCCAGGAAAGCAAGTTTGCCTCTCCAAACCTCAGTTTCCTCATCTGTGCAGCAGAGACCGCAACCCCTACCTCACGGAACAGTTAGTTGCAGGAATGAACAACAGTAACTACTCTTCATCCTGAAACTGCCACCTCTGGCTGGTAAACACTGTGAGCTTCCCCTTGGAAAGGGCTGAAATGAGAACGTGTGTGGTGAGGGCCCCGTGGAGGGCTGGCACTCAGGGAAGAAGCCTTTCTCGGGATGACTAAACAGCCAAGGTGTTCCTTTGCCAACGTTCCTCTGGATTTTTATAACACAAGGTGGGTGATGTAAATGGAGGCTTGGTGTCCCTTTGGCAGAACAGAGTCCAAAAACAGGGCTGGAGAAATACACATTAGATGGGTCTGAGCCCCAGGGAGAGGGGGACAGTCGAAGTCCGCATGATTTACCTTGGGTTTAGCCTACTTTCTTGCCTTCCTGGTTCAAGACTGTTTACAAACAGCTCCAAAGTACCAGCTCAGCTAAAACTGCCTCGGAGTCCTTACCATGTGGCCACCCTGCCTGGGAGGGGACCAGCGGCTCCCGCAGTGCTGCCAGTGATTTCCCAAGTCCTCAAGGCCTAACCCCAAACCCTGTGTCAATAATTAACCACCCCGAGAGGTGCACTGATCCTCTCCACCGGCTGGTAATGTCAGAGGTGGGGGAGGGGTAGTTTTTAATTTTCAAAGTCAAGAAAAACATGAGAATGAATAGCAACTCTTTCCAACTGAAGGCACAGCAATTCTGTGCCTGTGCTGGACCAGGATGGCTTTTCTGATGATGATATATTTATTAACTTATTTATGTAATATGTACATTAATGTATTTACTGACATAATAAATACCTATTCACATGGCAATACGTTCTTGCTGTGCTACATTCAAAATGCAAATGCCTCCACCTCGACCCACACACAACAGGCAGGAAGCCACTACAGCACGACGGCCTCTGGCTGTGACCACGGCTCTCCCTGCACACGCACAACACAGCACAACCCAAGGGAAAGGAAGGCTCCCCCTGAGGCGGTCTGAAATCCAAGCAGACTGGGAAGCTCTGTCGTTGAGGATCTGGGCCATTCCCACCCTGCCTCTATCACAGCATGGATGGAGGCGGCCCAGAGAAGAACAGTCAGTCAGACTCAGCTGGCCCTGGGCACCCCGCAAGAGCAGAGGCCCAGAGGCCCGAGGCCCTGGATGAGTTCCGGGGCGGGGAGGGGGGGCTTAGGCTTAGCCCAGTACCTGACACTGAAACCACCTCTGTGCTTTACACATCAGGGCCCATAAGGTAGAAGGAAGACAGAAATGAAATGATCTGTGGAGAACACCAAGCTTGTTTTGCAGAACACCAGGGAACCGGCAGATATGGAACAACCTGCTGACGGCCCCTGTAGGGCGCATGCAGTGGCATGATGAACAGCCGGGCCTACACAGAGCACTCCGGAAACTTAAAACTTACTTTCCACCAAACGTTTCCCAGCCCACTCCCCCTCTTATTCCATACTTCCACAGTAAATATCCCACTCAACAGCGATAGACTGAGGAGACAGACCTAAGCCTCGCTTCCTGACCCCTTACTTGGCTGCCCTGCAATGAATCCTTTTTCTTTCTGCAGGAGACTGTTGCCTTGGTGTTTGGCCTTTCTGTTGTGCAGTGGACAATGAGCCCACAACACAGAGTAAGTAAGTATTCAACAAACAGTTCTTGCAGGAGTAAATGAATTAACAAGTCAATTTGGGAACCAGCTTTGCTGCAAGTTCCTAGGCATGTTTTGGTCCTTTCTGGGATGTCCAGCTGGGTCCCCAACATGATGGGCCAATCACTCTGGAAGAGGGTGCCCAAAGTACAGGAATAAGAGTATACAGGCGATCTGGAGAAAACTCTTAATTCAAAAAGACACATGACCCCAATGTCCACAGCAGCACCATGTACAGTAGCCAAGACATGAAAGCAACCTAAATGTCCATCAACAGATGAATGATAAAGAAGATGTGGTACACACACACACACACACACACTGGAATATTATTCAGCCACCAGAAAGAATGAAATAATGCCATTTGCAGCAACATAGATGAAACTAGAGATTATCATACTAAGTGAAGTAAGTCAGAGAAATACAAACACCATATGATATTGCTTATATGTAGAACCTAAAAAAAACGGCACACACAAGTGACCTTATTTACAAAACAGGAACAGACTCTCAGACATAGAAAACAAACTTATGGTTACCAGGGGGGCAAAGGCAGAGTAGGGGGATAAATTAGGCGTCTGGGATTTGCGGATACTAACTACTACATATAAAATAAACAACAAGATCCTACTGTTCAGCACAAGGAACTATATTCAATCTTACAATAACCTATAATGAAAAAGAATACAAAGAATATTTGTATATATATGTGTAACTGAATCAATATGCTGTAAACCAGAAATGGACACAACATTGTAAATCAACTAAACTTCGATTTAAAAAAAAGTATATAGATGGTGACACGGCTACAAAGCACAGTTTCAAGGGATACATATTTAGTTCAAGTCACAGCTTTACCTCTAACACCTGGGTGAACCGAAACAACTGGCTTAAATCATCTAAGCCTCAGTTACCTCATCTGTAAAATGAAAATAATAATATCTACTTTTGTAGTCATCTCCAAATTAAAGACAAGCTGCTTGCCGTGGATAAGCTATCTTCCCCCCATTTTCTGTAGAGTATAATTATAATACTTCTGCAGAAGTAACTGTCACTCAGATGTAGCCATCTGGACAGAACCATATGCTGAGGAGCCCTGTAAGAATCTGAGTTCCTGAATGATCTCACGTTGCAGAGCTGCCCCACCAGCCTGCACAGGCTGGACTGCTCCTTGAAAAAGAAATACACTTCTACCATCTGTAGGTCTCTTTGTAACAGCAGCTTAGCTTAATTACTATATTAACTAATCTCATTAGCCTACAGTCAAGCAATGATAGTGTTATGTTGAGGTGTATGAAATTACTGTTTTTGTGGGTCAAAAGCAGTCAGATGCAAGTATACAGCTCAACCTAAGGAGAGTGGGTCAGATATCTTAAGGAAAGGAAACCCTTTTCTTGACAATAGCTACTTCACCCTGCAATTAATGTGTGGTGAAATAAGATTCAATATACAGAAGTAACAAAACATCACTGAAAGAAATTAAAGGAGGTCTAAATAAATAGAAAGATATCCCATGTTCATGGATTGGAAGATTTACTATTTAGATAGCAGTATTTCCCAAAGTGACTGATAGATTTAACACAATCCCTATCAAAATCCCAGCTGCCTATTTTTCAGAAATTGACAAAATGACCTTAAAATTCATATAGAAATTCGAGAGACCCAGAATAGCCAAAATCATCTTGAAAAAGAATAAAATTGGAAGATTCACACGTCCTAATTTCAAACTTAACACAATGCTAAGGTTCTTAAAACAGGTGGTGCTGGCATTAGAGTAGACACATGGATCAATGGAGTAGAATTGAGAGTCCAGAAATAAACCCTCACATTTGAGGTAATCTGCTTTCTGACAAGGGTGCTGAGACAATTCAATGAGGAAAAAAATAGCCTTTTAAACAAATGGTACAGGGGCAATTAGAGAGCCACATGCAAAAGAATGAAGTTGGACCCCTACCTCCGACCACAAAGATTAAATCAAAATGGAACAAAGACCTATATATAAGAGCTAAAATTACAAAACTCTTAGAAGAAAACACAGGTATAAAACTTAACAACCTTGGTTTCTTGGATATGGCAACCAAAGCACAAGCAATCTAAGAAAAAACAGATAAACTGGACTTCAACAAAATTAAAGATGCTTGTGTTTCAAAGCTTACCATCAAGAAAGTAAAAAGAAAACCCACAGAATGGGAGAAAATATTTGCAAATCATACAGCTGATAAGGGACCTGTATCCAGAATATATAAAGAACTCTTCCAGTGTACAAATGGAAGGATATACAATCCAATTTTTAAAATGGCAAAAGATTTGAATAAACATTTGTTCAGAGAAGATATACAAATGGCCAATAAGCACATGAAAAGATGCTCAACATCATTAGTCATTAGGGAAATACAAATCAAAACCACAATGAGATACCACTTCACATCCACTAGGATGGCTATAGTCAAAAATAACAAGTGTTGAGAAGATGTGGAGAAACTGGAACCCTCATGCATTGCAAATGGTAATGTAAAATGGCATGGCTGTGGTAAAAGACTGTTTGGCAGTTCCTCAAAAGGTTAAATACAGAACTACTATATGACTCAGAATTTTCACTCCTAGGTATATACCCAAGAGAACTGAAAACATCTGTTCACAAAAATACTGGTCCATAGCAGCATTATTCACATTAGACAAAAAGGGAAACAACCTAAACTTCCATCACCTAATGAATGGATAGACAAATTGTGGTACATCCATACAATCGAATATTATTCAGCTATTTAAAAAAACGAAGTTCTGGCATATGCCACAACATACGTGAGCCTTGAAATCATTATGCTGAATGAAAGAAGCCAGTCACACAAGACCATATACTGTATGCATAATTCCATTTACATGAAATGTCCAGAATAGGCAAATCTATAGAGACAGAAAGTAAATTAGTGGTTTTGCAGGGGTAGCAGTAAGGGTAGAGGGTACTGGGGAATGACTGCTGATAGGTATTGGGAGTTTGTTGGGTGATAAAAATATTCTGGAAATCGCTAGTGGTTGTCATGGGTTGAATGGTGGCCCTGAAGAGGTATGTCCATCTCCTAATACCCTGACTCCTTATTTGGACGAGAACCTGCCCTTGAGTCTCTGGAGGGAATGCGGCCCTGCCGACACCTGTTTCAGACTTCTGGCCTCTGGACTGCACATCTCCATTGTTTTAAGCCACGAGGTTTATGGTAATTCGTTACAGCTGCCTTAAGAAACTAGTAACAACGATGATTAGTGTAAAATTTTGTAACTTTACCACAAACCGTTGGCTTATACATTTTAAAAGGTGACCTTTATGGTATATGAATAATATCTCAATAAAGCTGTTATTTAAAATACACACATACACAAGCTCACTTTACAACACATGGAGGAAGCAGCCACTTCATAGATGAAATACAACAATAATCTCCAGGCCTGTCTTCTGTATACCAAGGCGATGCTACTGTCCCACAGCCATGGGATGCGTCCTCTGTAGATGCCCATCCTCCCATCAGTGGGAACAGGATTTTCAGATGCATGTCCTCGGGACCTCTTGGGCTGACGTTTACTAGGGGGATGGTTGGTCTAATCTTTGACTCTGCAGTTCTGGGTGCATGCTTGAGCCCTATCTTTCCCATTTCTATATCAATGTTCAACAGATAAGATGGAGCCTTGACTAAAAGCTTACCTGGATAACTGGAAAGGGTAATTTTCAGCCCATCAAGAAAAAAGAGACAGCACAAAGAATAATCACCAGCTGAAGCACTTCTAGGGAGAACAAGCCCAGCGGTAACAGCCACTGTTGCTAAGAAAGCCAGGGTGACCTTGGGGAAGGTCTCCAGGAGTGACTGGGTACCCTCCCCACCCTACAGGTCAGTACACATTGCCCCTAGAACCCAATGGTCTTTCCTAGGGAGCAATCACCTACACAAAGGGGCCCACACAGAGGTGGTATCTGCCACAGCACTGGAGGGACTTGTGGTAGTTGAAGACATTAGAAACTGTCTTTTGGCAATGTGGGAAAGAGTGTAGATTGCTCTGAAGGGTCACGTAGACCTACTTGGGGTGCCTGGGATTCCGTGCAAACTCTGTACTCCAAGTCTTGAAGCATCTGTGCAGCCAAAATAGGGTTGAGGGACGCTGACCCTGCGCCTTTGGACCTTACCTCCACACGTCGCTGCCTTTGGAAAACATGGAGGCACGAATGACTTCGGGTGCCATCCAAGCATACGTCCCTGCCGCGCTCATCTTGGTGGTTCGGTGCCATTCCCGAGCCAGCCCAAAGTCGGTGATCTTGAGAATCTTGTTGCTGAGGTCTCCGTTCTCCACCTTCTGGAGGATCAATACTGGGCAAGGAAAGGAATACAGAAGAAACCAGAGTCTGCGTTAATCACAGGGAGACCACCAGACACAGAGCCCTCCTGCCATCCTCTCGTCCTCTCCTGCGGGCTCCACCCCATGGCGACCATGCGTGGACAGAGGGAGCCATCATCCTCCAACACCCATGAAGCACCCATCTTTGTGCCGAGTATTTTACAGGCATTATCTTTAACCCTCACAACCACTTTACAAGGTGGGTACCATTGCCATCCCTGTTTACAGATGAGGAAATGGAGATACAGTATCACGAAATACATCTTCCAAGGACACTCAACTAAGAAGCTGGACCCAAACCCAGGCAGTCTGACTCAAGAGCCTTCTGTTACCATGACGCCACGTGGCCCACTCGCAGCCTGCGCAGGAAGAGCTGTGGCGTCACAGCTGACTCTTCTGAGGAGCGGCTGCTGGGGCTTCCTGTCTTCCAGGCGCCCCTGGGCTCTAACCGCTCAGACCACAGAGAATGGAGGTGCACGCTGTACTTGCACCAATAGTGCCTGTGTCTGTTGGCAGTGTCTGGACAGTTTCCATGAACCTCTCCAAGTTGCTTTATTTAAAGTTCCAAGAAAGCATGTCTTTGGGGCACAGAGATTTCCCCTTAATCCAGGAACTCGCTGCCACTCGTTGAGAATGGCTGACAGGCTGGGAGGTCACAGGGCACATGCACGTAGGTGCTCACCATGTTCTGTGAACGTGGCCTGGGAAGGAGGACGCAGCACACCAAACTCGTCACACTCTGGGCCCAGAACCCTACGTTCCAGCGCCGAAGCTCTGCAGTGTGGGAGCCATCCTGGCTCTCCCAGGACAGCAGGTGAGGCAGCCACCTCGCCCACATGACGGTTCCGGCAATAAGGGTGCCCTGGTGGGAGCCAGTCTCCCTCAAAAGCGCAGAAATGCTCACCGACTACAGCGCTGTAAGCTAAGCCCCGGAACCCTGCCTGAGTGGGCAGCAAGCAAGCTCCCAGGGCACGTGGGAACCAAGCCTCCGTGCTCACAAGTCGGACGGTTCCAAAGGCCCTGTGCCGGCACGTCCGCTCGTGGGCCAGACACTGAGCCACCTGAGATTCACAGCTGTGAACACAGGATTTCAGGGAATGGAGGAAGGCTCTCTCCGCTGTGTAGGTCTAAACAGGGAGAGCGGGAGTGGGGAGGCAGATTTTAGGGCAAGAGCCTAAGGCAGGTCCCTCAAGTCACACAACTGTACTCTCCTCCTGCCCCCAGACCCCGCCCCAGCAAATATCCCCTGAACTGTTACATAATGAAAGGACCTGGGCCACAGACCTCTCTGTCCTGCGTGCTTCCCAGAAAGCCAGCATAAAGAGGGACTGCAAACAACTACAGGGCTGGAAGCAGAAAAGTGCCAGCTGCTCCCCAGATCCAGTGGACTAAGCCTGCTTCCTCCACACCCTCTCCCCACTTCGCCGACACCCCTCTGAATGGGCCCAGGCCTCTGAATGTTTGGGCAGATTAAAAACCAAAAAACCCAACTTTCTACATCTCATCTAATAACAAAAATCTTGCCAGATACTTCTGTGTCTCTCTCCCCTCCACTGCGGGCAGAGAATAGACGAAGACACACTGGGACTGCCGGGAAAGTGGCGCCACAGGAACCCCCTATTCCCTCTGCAGCCAGGGCAACCAAGCCGCCCTTAAACGGGAGATTCAGAGGGAGCCCTTCCCCTTACACCTCCAGTGGGGTTCAGCCCCGTCACTCCAGACCTCCAGGTGGCTGGGACAGGGTGCAGTGGGAAGAGGACACCACTCTAACGATGCTGTATGCATCCAGCTGAGCCTTCTCAGAGTCTCTGCTGGGAAGGGAAGACACAGAAGTTTCTCTTAGAGGAAACTGGTATTTAGAAGTGGAATGGCAGGATGAAGATGATCTTTAAAATACATTATTAGTCTGTCAGATGGCTTAAGAGGGATGGCAGAAAGATGGAGGTGGGGCAAGGATCAGCTCAGGGCAGTCTGTCTACATTAGAATGCCTTTACACAGGGCAGGTCCAGCCTAGTTCTACCCAGTCTCCACTACTCCCTGCTGCCTGGCATCCAGCTGATCTCATTCCAACAGGCTGGGCCCCTGAGGGTTTCTGAGTTAGAAATCCCTGGCCTAGGGGTCCTGCCCTGAGCAAAGAGGAGAGGGTGTAATCCTGGCAGCTAGTCATCCTGGCAGACGGTTACAGGCAATGAGTCTCAAGAACAGTGTCCTGAAATACTGGTACCCTGGTATCTCCCAAGGATGTATTACTATTAACAAGTGAAGCAACACATTTTTTCAGAATTTTTCAATTGAGATGAAATTCACGTAACACAGAATGAACCATTTTGAAGTGAACAAATCAACAGCACTTAGCACTCACAGTGTTGTACAACCACCACCTCTATCTAGTGCCAAAACATCTTCATCACCCCCCAAAAGGAAACGCCACACCCATTAAGCAATTATTCCCCTTCTCCCCCTCTTTCCAGCCTCTGGCAACCACCGGTTGGCTTTCTATCTCTACCGATTTACCTGTTCTGGGTATTTCATGTAAATGGACTCATACAATATGTGTCACATCTGGCTATTTCACTCCGCACAGTGATTCCAAGGTTCATCCACACTGTCGCTCATACCAGTACTCTATTCCTTTTTGAGACTGAATGATAGTCCATGGTATGTATATACCACAATGTGTTTTCCCCTCTATCCACTGACAGACATTTGAGTTGTTTCCACCCGTTGGTTATCGTGCATCTGCTGCTGTGAGCACGTGTGCACATACATCTGTTTGAGTACCTGTTTTCAGTTCCCTAGGATGTACACCTGGGAGTGGAATTACTAGGTTATACGGTAATTCTACGTTGAAATTTTTGAGGAATCACCAAACTATTTTCCACAGCAGCTGAACTGCTTTACATTCCAATTTCTCCATAACCTCACCATATTATTTTCCTTTTTCTTCTTCTTATAGACATTTTAGTAGATGTGAAGTGGTATCTTCGTGTGGCCTTGATTTGCATTTCCCTAAAGACTAAAGAGTTGAGCATCTTTTCACTTGTTTGTTGGTCTTTGTATGAATCTCTGGAGAAATGTCTGTTGTCATTTTGCTGCCGAGTTATGAGTTCTTTCAAATATGTGATTCGCAAATATTTTCCCCTCTCTGTAGACTGTCTTTTTACTTACTCGATAATGGCCTTTGATGCACAAAAGCTTCTAATTTAGATGAAGTCCACTTTATTTTTCTTTTTGTTGCTCACACTTTTGATGTAATTTCAAAGAACTGCCAAATCTAAGTTCATGACGATTTGCCTCTGTTTTCTTCTAAGAGTATTATGGTTTCAGCTCTCATATTTAAGTCATTTTCCATTCTTAAATTTTGTATATCAAAGTACGAGACAGGGGCCCAACATTATTCTTTTGCATGTGGATATCCAATCTGCCCTGTTTGTTAAAGGGGAAGGCTTTACTTTTTAAAACAGAATGGAGCACAGTTCTTTCCAGACAAGTTCTCTGAGGTAGGAGAGAAAGGTTATATTCACAGTAGCTTGCTTATCTGTACCCACTGCCGTGAACCCATTCTAAGCTTCTACCACTAACAAAGAACTGCAGTGATAACAAACTATGATGCTTTACTTCTTAGAAAACTTAAGGATGTTGTCTCAAAATCTGGGGAAGTCTATGAAAGTGTACTGTGTAGACCTCCCCTCTCATGTGGGGGTGCGGAGTGGAACAAATGCTGAAAAATAACAAACCCAAGTCAAGGGGGGCCTTGCCAGGATAAGAAGAACAGAGAGGAAAAGATGCATTTGAACTAAAAAGCTAGTGATTAACCAGATATACGGGCTTCAACAGAGAAGGAAGATATCTCCTGCCTTTCACACAAGGGTGACAAGTAGAATGGTGGTGCCCCTGACAGAGAAGTTAAGAGACAAAGCCCATTCAAGGAAGCCAAGCTCAGTCTGGGATATAACAAAAGTCAGTAAGGAACAGGGAAACAAAGGGCAGACTATCTATAAATCCCAGGCAGGACACTTTCCACGTGAGCCTGGGCAAGTTTCATAAACTCTGCATCTCTATTCCCATTTCTATAAAATGGGGACAAAGTTGAAAGGTGATCCAATAATGAAGCACCCAGCACAGTGCCTGACACACACAGGCACTCAGGACATTACAGCTGTCATTACTACTATTATGATTAAGTGTCTCGTACGTAAATGGAAACCTGGGGCTCTTGAGAACCCTGGCAGTCCCTGACATATAATAACCATGTAGTAAATTTTTACTGTGTAAATAAATAGAATGGTTGATTAATTAATAATGAGAGCTGCCCATTATTGATCACTCACTACATGCAGGCATACCTCGTTTTATCACACTTCACTTTATTATGTTTTGCCTATATTGCTTTTTTTTTTTAATACAAATTGAAAGTTTGTGGCAACCTCGTATTGAGCAAGTCTATTGGTGCTATTTTCTAACAGCGTTTGCTCACTTCCCGTCTCTGTGTCACATCTGGTAATTCTCTTTTTCATTATTATTATGTTTGCTATGGTGATCTGTGATCAGCGATCCTTGATGTTAACTGTCAGTTGTTCTGGGGGGCCACGAACCATGCCCATGTAAGACGGTGAACTCAGCTGGTAAATGTGTGTGTTCTGACTGCTCTGCTGACCTGTTCTCTCTCCCTCTCCTTGGGCCTCCCTATCCCCTGAGACACAATGATATTGGAATTAGGCCAATTAATAACCCTAAAATGGCCTCTGAGTGTTCCAGCAGAATTCTCTCACTTTAAATCAAAAGCTAGAAATGATCCATCTTAGTGAGGAAGGCATGTCAAAAGCAGAGACAGGCCAAAAGCTAAGCCTTCTGTACCAGTTAGCCAAGTTGTGAATGCAAAGGAAAAGTTCTTGAAGGAAATTAAAAGTGCTCCTCCAGTGAACACACAAACAATAAGGCAAAACAGCCTTACTGCTGATATGGAGAGTT